GAGCAGGGAGCCCGATGTGGGACTTGATCCCAGGACCCCGGGATCATGACCTGAGCCGAAGGCAGACGCTTAACGACTGAGCCACCCAGGCGCCCGAGCTAAGCCCTTTTGAAAGTTGACATTTAAGAAAGGTCTGAGAAGATACGCCATAGACTGGCACGGAGAGAACAAGAAGAACAATTATGGATCTTTCACCTCCATATCCACCCATGATGCAGAAGATGCCCTTCCCATACTTAGTCTATTTCATTTTGAACTCTTCAAATGAAAGCCGGTTTTTTTTCTCCTGATACTCATTATCAAATATATTATTTATCACAAAGGTTTTTCTTCCCATAGCTCATAAGCTCAGAACTTACTGTGCATTCAAGAATAGAAATTGCTGCCAACAAATGCATTTTTTTCGATTGCTCTCTTAAGATTTTTTTTTTTCCTTTCTGGAGCTAATATTGAGCTGTGAGCAGTAGTTACTCAGATGCAGAGAAACGAAAGAAAAATTATTATCAATTATTTCACTAAATATCACTGTGTAGGTGACAGTTGTGTGAAAAACATGGCATGGATTTTGTGTGAGAATTTTTTCAAGAAAAGAAGAGAGAGATACATAGTAATTCTCCTTTTCCAAGTCACTCCCTTTTGGGGTCCCCAAAAGACTTCTGAACTAAGATAATGAGAGGCTTTGTCCAAGTGAATCCTAAATGCTGGTTGAAGAATCTGCATATGGTAAGACATCTTTAAAGTATCTTTCCAATCCAATAGTCCACATAAAACTAGTCAAAGCAAAATTGTGAAGTATGCTGTCCATTCTGCATAAAATATTATTCCCGTACTCATCACAGGCTGACTCCTTACCCTTCGCATCTCAACTTCAGTGTCACCTCCTCAGAGAAATCTTCCCTGACCAGCCTAAAAGAGGTTCTCTAATCTCTGCTCTCTCTCAGAGCTCCCTATTCTTTCTGTATAAAATTTATCTCAATGTAAAATATATCTAATTTTTTCTATTTATCTGCCTGTAGTATGCCACCATTGGTAAATGCAAACTCCGTGAGAGCAGGAACCCTATCTGTGTTATTTATAGGACCAGGGTCAACTTTTTAAATAAATTAAATGAAAAAATAAAAATAGATAAAGTATATCTTCGGGGCATCTGGTTATCAAACTTTAGGATATATAAGGATCCCTTGGAGACTTCTTAGATGCAACACCAAAAGCTCAAGTGATTAAAGAGAGGTTTGATATGTTGGATTTCGTCAAAATTAAAATTTTCAGTGCTTCCCAGGACACCATCAAGAAAATGAAACACAACTCACAGAATAGGATAAAATATTTGCAAATCATATATCTGATAAAGGACTTGTATCCAGAATCTACAAAGAACTCCTACACCTCAATAATAAAAAGAAAAATAATCCACTTTAAAAAGGATAAAGGATCTAAACAGACATTTCTCCAAAGAAGGTATAGACATAGCCTATAAGTACCGGCTGCACATCATTAGTCATTAGGAAAATGCATATCGAAACAGAAATGAGG